AACGGTGGGATCAGGTCAAAGCACTCTTTTCTGGCAAGATGTTTGGTGGGGTAACGTCACGCTCAAATCAAAATACCCTGAGTTATATAACCTCGAATCAAATAAGCATTGTTTTGTTATGGATCGAGTTAAAATCAATGGCTTTGAGTGGGATTGGAAAGCAGACCCAATGGCGGCACATTTGAATTGGAATCTGGCACATCTGACCTCTGACATCAGTTCATTCTCCCCAAGCAATGAACCAGACATGTGGCGATGTATCCTTGGGGTAGATGGTCTATATACTGTCGAGGCCCTCCGCAAGAAACTAGACGATTCCATCCCTCCTCTACCAGGTATTAAAACTGAATGGGTGAAGGAGGTCCCTCTGAAAGTAAATTGTTTTATTTGGAGGGCAAAATGGGGAAAGATACCTTCAGCTGCAGCTCTTTTGGCTAGAGGTGTCAATGTTACCAATCCTAATTGTGAGTATTGTCTGAACTCTATTGACTGTGCAGATCATATATTCATCCAGTGTGATTTTGCAACGGCAGTCAGAGAAGGGGTGATGAGGTGGTGTGGCATAACCCTCGGGCAAGTGAATACTATGACAGATTTACTGAAGTTTGCAGCAAGTTGGGGTCACTGTCATAAGAAAAGGAGGGTCTTCTTGATTATCTGTTATGGAATGTTATGGGGTTTATGGAAGGCTCGGAATGATCGTATTCTTAAACAGATGAAACCAACTCCAACAAAAATAGCTGGTGACATACAATCATTGGTGTTCCTTTGGCTGAAATATAGGGGTTCTATGGGTGTCATTAGGTGGTGCGATTGGGGGATGTCCCCTTTTGCTTGTCTGTAACTGATACACTTCCATTTTCCTTTCATTTATTTGTACTTTCTTTGCTGTTGACTCATCTAGCTTCTTGCTAGGTGATGCTTATTTATAAAACTGTTTAGCCGTTTCCAAAAAAAAATCCCTTGATTTTTTATTTTTCAATATAGTATCCTTGATGTTCGGAAAATAATAATAAATAAAATGTTTTTGGGAAATTCCATAAAACCAATATAATTTAGTTTTTTTAACTTTAACCGAAAGATTTTTTTTAATGTTTTAATCACTACAAGTTGGTTTTTTTTTTCTCAAAACAATCATTACATAACACTGACTTGTATACAAAACAATATTGTTTGGCATGTTTTTTTAGTTTTAGCACTAAAAAAAATGTTTCTTTTCGATTTAAGCTTTGAATCTTTAAAAAAAAAAACATCTTTAACCTACTAATGGTCTTCATTTTTTTTTCTTTTGTAACTGCTAATGAAAAAAAAATCTCACTAATTAAACTAGATAAAAATTAATTTAGTGGTTAAATAAAAAAAAAATCGGAATATAATGCTTGTCTGTTTTTATGAAATTAGGCCAAAACTTTATATAAAAAACTATACCAAATTTTATGTCTTGATTGAAGCGCATTTTTCAACTCAAATTTATTGCATTGGTGTTAACTATTGTAAAGACTCTAACGTTCATATTCCAGACTCCAGAGTTACGCAATATCCAGCTGTAGACAGTTAGTCCTTCCTCTTCTTCTAGTTTAAATGATTTATCCTGCCATTTTTACCCCTGTCCCACCCCCTATATAGTCACCTCCAACTTAAACAAGTGAGGTCATTATCGTCAATTAAAGAGTTTCTACTAAAAGTCGTGACTACCTGTAACAAAGCTGTAATGGATTTTGTTTTTTAGCCAAAAAAATTGAAGCGCCTTCACGCTTTCATTAAATCCTTCATAGGTCATATGAATGATGCCCACGCACACTTCACCCCACTTATGTTAATTCTGACTATGGATAACACCTACAGTACAAGTACTCATTATAATAAACTTTACCTTCTTTATTAAAAAATAGTATAACTTATTTATCAATAGTTCTTAATGCAAGAATACATTTTTTTAGTAATACATTTGTTTTTAAACAAAATAGCAACCATTTATGATTCTAGGAGCAAAATATGTAATAAATTTATATGTAACCGGTTTAAATGTAGTTGCTTGTATCAGTTATAGTAGTAAATAGCTATTTTTCTGCATAAGTTAAGAAAAAGGTTAATAGTTTGCTTGATTTACTGTAATTTTTTTACATGAATCACAATTTAGTTAACGTAACTGATGAAATATTATGATGAGTGACAGATTCAGAAAGTAAAATAAAGGGTTGTACAATTTTTTTAGAGGTTGCAGAACTAGAAAAAAAAAACTCATTTTTGAAGATAGATTTCATCACAAAATCGTCAATAAACAACAAATTTATACTAAATTTACAATTATCAAATTTTATGATGGATTGTCAACGGATTCGTGATGAATTTCCAACGGATTTCGATGAATTTTCACTAAATTTACATTTGACGGAAAATTTGATGGGTAGCCCGTGCTACCCCGTGCAACATATATAGTAAATCCGCCCATGATTATGATAATTTTTTTTAACGGTTTGTTAGTAGTTAGAATTTAGTTCACCAAATTTGTAGAAATCACACACATCCGGATTAGAACCTGGAACCTCCAATCTAAAGATGTTTAAGATTGACTTTTAAATGTGTTTATTGACTACAATATTATGATATGTTTGAAAACGAACTTTTGTAAAAAGGGTGTTTGAGATTGAGTTTCAAATGTGTTTATCGACTCTGAAAAAGCATTTGGCAATTTAATAATTATTATTAAAAAAAATTGTTATCTTTTAGAAATACATTTTGAAAATAAGTTAGAAATTTGATTTTTCAAAAGTGTTTATGACTTATTCATCTAAAATAATCCAAACACCAAAGAGCTTCTAACTCAGCAATATCAGATGTTGTCCTTCCTTCTTAATTTTAAGGGTTTAAGTTCTGTTACGGACATATGTGAAATTTAAAAGTAGTTTAGTAGTAGGATTAAATTTGTCATTCAAAAAAAATCCAAACAGTTTTTTAATGACTTAATAACTTTTAATTTCTTGACACCATATAATTTAATCCAAATATTTTTAAATTTTTTTATTTATAAACAAATAAATTAATAAGCAGTTTTATCAAAAAGTGTTTATTGATTTAAATAAACAATTATAAACACCACATAAAGCTTTTGAAAACTTTTAAAATATCTTTCTTTTGTATTTTAAAATAACTTGAATTAAAAAAAAAAATTTGTTTGAGATACGATTTTAAAACTTTTATTTCACTCATAGTCAAAAAAATATTTCAACTAGGTTTTAAGATGTTTAGTTGTTAGTTTTTATGAAGGTATTTAGGTGCTGTTTGTTTTTTTAGAAAAACCTCTTCAAACCACTTTCTGCTGCGTGGCGCAGCACACGCGCAACATTTTCCCTCTCGCAGCAGTTTGTTTTTTGGAAGACTTCAGACTGCAAAACCTCTGCGCATGTGCTGCGTGGCGCAGCACTTGACTTGCCTCTTCAAACCTCTTCAGCTTTTAATTTTTTGAAGTTTTTTTAGAATTTTAGTATAACTTATTTTTTTTAAACATTTAAAAAAAAAAGCTTTTATTTACGGATTTAATACAATTTCTTATTATAGTTTCTACAAATTTTTTTAACTTAATTTTTTTTTTTAAAAAAAAAAACTTTGATTTTTTTAATTTTTTTACCGTTTCCGTTAATAATATTTTCAGTTTCAGTTTCAGTTTCATCTTTTTTAACGTGTGTAATTTTTTACGAACTTTGTACACATCGTTTGCAATACTTTCTTAATTTTTTTTATTATTTTCTTTTTTATGTTTTTTAAAATTAGTTTTTTTTTTAGAATAAAGTTGTTGGCTTCTTTTATATTTTTGTAAGTTTTTTTTTAAAAAAAGTTTTATATTTTTGTTTTTTTACATGTTATTTTTAGTACTCTTTCAATGTTTTAAGATTAGAATTATTAAAATTTCGGTGTTGATAACTATTTTAAGTTTATAAAATTAGTTTATTTAAATTTCAGTTTACTGCAGCAGTCTGCAGATGTTAAAAAACAAACATGCTTCTTATTATGGGCTGCAGCCGTTTGTTCCACCTCTTCTGCTACAGAGGATTGCAGAGGTGGTCCGCAGACTTCATGAATTTTCGCTTCGAAAAAACAAACAGCACCTTAGTAATAGATTTTTTAAAACCATTGATAACTTTTTAAGAGATCTTAGCTTTTATATTTTTAAAAAAAAATCAAATCAAAAGAAAATTCATTTGAAATAAAGTCTTAAAACTTTTTAAGAATAAAACACTCATAATCTACAACTTGTTTTTCCAATAGCTCTTAAGTACTTTTTTTATGTAATTTTATAAATTTTAAAAAGTATAGTTATTTTTATAAAAATTCTATAAAAATAAGAATTACATCTCCTGTGTTTCTAAGAAATTGTCCCTGCGATTAGAGCTTATCAAATGAGGTACAAATTTCAATTGGAGCTTATCAAATGAGCATAAAATTCTGTATAATAGGTTTAGTGTTCAAATTCTAACATTCTTATATGTCAATAAGATTGATGAGATGAGATAATAGGTTTTGCCAAAAACAAAAAAAAAAAAAAAAAAATTCAAACTATTTTTGGCACCAAACATTTACAGTTGTTTAAAAACCGAATGGCTGTCCAACCTAATATACTTTTGCATTTTTGTGTATATCTCAAAATTAACTCTCATACGTAGTATTTTAAATTATTTTCATTTCTGAATTCTTATTCGAATTTAACATAAACTTGACTAAATACCTAAAGATATTTACAGAATGTTATACCTTTTTTTTTTTTTTTTTTTTTTTTTTCAAAACGTATGAAAAGAACAACTGTATATAGTCGTTATAACGCGGAAGCAGCTTTTATGAGGTTTATATGGGGAGCTCCTCCACCTCTAGAACCTCACCCCTACCCCACGAATAACCTTTTCATTTAACCTCTTCATTTTTAAATTCAATTTCACTTGTATAAATACCTCCATTCCCCACCTCCATTTTCATCATCAATTAACTCTCCTCGAAAACATTCAACAATGGCTTCCATAGCTCTTTTCTTCCTACACCTTCTCTTTCTATTGTCTATTTTCCAACCCTCACTTGCAACTAGACGACTCACTGAGTTAGTCCAGAACTCGTCTCCCCTTTTGCAATACCACAACGGTGCCCTCCTCACCGGCGACATCTCCGTCAACCTCATTTGGTACGGCAACTTCAAGCCCTCTCAGAAAGCCATCATCACCGATTTCATCACCTCCCTCTCCTCCGCCTCACTCAAATCCCAGATCCAACCTTCCGTCGCCACATGGTGGAAGACAACAGACAAATACTACTCAAAAACAAAGAAACCCTCCCTCCGACTTGGTAAACAAGTATCCGACCCGGATTGCTCACTCGGGAAATCATTAACAGACAAGCATCTCCTCCAGTTAGCTGCAAACGGCGAACCAACGAACGCCGTGAACATCGTGTTAACGGCAAAGGACGTGGCAGTTTCTCGTTTTTGCTCCGGTAGGTGTGGAACCCATGGCCATGGATCATCTTCCATTGTAAAAGGTAAAAGCAACAAGTTTGCTTACATCTGGGTTGGCAACTCGGAGACTCAGTGTCCTGGTCAATGCGCGTGGCCATTCCATCAACCGATCTACGGACCACAGGGTGCACCACTGATCGCACCGAACAACGACGTGGGTGTAGATGGAATGGTTATAAATCTGGCTACTCTCTTGGCTGGAACTGCTACAAATCCATTTGGGAATGGGTATTATCAGGGGGATGCTGGTGCACCATTAGAAGCTGCATCTTCTTGTTCGGGGGTGTATGCGAAAGGGGCCTATCCAGGGTATGCCGGAGATTTGTTGGTGGAATCGACGACGGGTGCAAGTTTCAATGCACATGGTACAAACGGAAGGAAGTATTTGCTTCCTGCTTTATTTGACCCTTCTACTTCTAAATGTTCTACTTTGGTTTAACGAAAAGGAGAAGAACGCTCTTTCTCCTGGTTTTGTATAAAATAAAAATGAAAAAGAAAAAAATGTAAGAAATAGTGTAGGAATGTACTATGTAACTTAAAAAAATTATGTATTCGTTTATTCAATTTAATTACCACATATATGTTTTCAGTATTTTTTTATTATTAAATAATTAGGAAACATTTTACCAACCAGTATAGGATAAATTTATATATTAATATCATATAACTTCAGCTTATAACAAAAGCAAAAAACTTGACAAAAACTATAAAACCAAAGCCGAACTCAAATTATTGAATTTGGGTTTAAATTTTTTAAAACCCAAAACCAAAAAATATTGGTTTGGATTGGGTTTGCATATTAAACTTGACCTATTTAAACCCAATGGTTTCAAAACTAAACAAAACCGATCCAGATCTACATATCTAAACCTAAAATCTGTAAACTATTTTTAACTTTGAATCTGGTTTAAACTCACTAAACTCGGTACGCCCAGCGTACGTCCGAGGTCTCGCCTATAAAAAGGGACTGAGGGCTACCTTCATTTTCACACCAAATCCATCTCTCTCTCACTACTTTCTCTCTTTAGTCTCCCTAAATCCCCCTAAAGCCTAGGAAAACCCCTAGCCCCTGAAGGAAGCCCCGGAGAGCCCGAAGGCTCCAAGAAAAAGAGTTTTTCGGTTTGAAACTCTGCCCGCGCGGAGCCCGGTTTTCAAGCAAACTTGCCGGTTTCGTCAAAGAATATTATTTTAAGAAGCGAAGTGCTCCGTATCAGGTGAGTGTATAGTCACTTTCATCTTACACATAAATATGGATTATTTTATATAAATTATGTGCTATGTGTATATATATGTTATCTGTTTACCTGAGATGTTTGCTGGATGAAAGATCTATACTTTTTTCTTTCAGATCTGAAACTTTTTCCTTCAGATCTACACTTTGTCATCTCAGATCTAAGCTTTTTCTTCAAGATCTAAACTGTATACTTTGAGATCTATGTTGGATGAAAGATCTGAACTTCTTTCCTTCAGATCTGAAATTTTTCTTCAGATCTAGACCTTATATATATTTTATGCTTTGAAAGTTATGCTGGTGAACTTAACTTGGTCCCTGTTAAGATTAATGTTCTTATGTGGCGGGTTTTATGGAATCATATATATACCCTTTAAGGTGAACCTTGATAACCGAAGGGTTGATATTCCCTCTCTTTTTTGTTCGTCTAGTGATTTTAGTGTCGAAGATGTTATGCATGTGTTTTTGAGGTATGATGTGGCTCGTTAGGTTTGGGATCACATCTCTAAATAAGTTGATTTACCTTTCACTCTTCTTGTATAGATGTGGTTGAAATTTTTACATGGGTTGACACAGTTTCAATTTCTAGGTGGCATAGGAAGGCTTTAGAAGTTATTGTCTTTACTACGATTTGGGTGTTATTGCGGTATAGGAAATTGCAAGGCTATCCAGAATAATTACATCAAAACGAGCAATATTTTTGATAATATCGTCGTTGTCTGTTTTGATTGGTTTTTTGTTAGGAATTATAAAGTTAGAATCAATTGGTCTACATGGTTACAAAACCCTATACTTTATATTTTCGTGTAATTTCTCATTTACAACATTTTGTTAGTGGGCCATTTTTAATAAAATTTCAGTTAAAAAAAAATATATTTTAAGACACTTGTCACAATTTTATATAGATATGAGGATGAGTTGGAAAAAATAGGTTATTTATTTTTTTTAAAAACTTTTAATCTTTGGTACTTTCCTTAAACTTGTTGCATTTTAATCTTTTTTTTTTGAATTAATTGCAAAATTGGTTTTGTGGTATCCAAAAAATGTTGCTTGAGTCTATTTTCTTTTTCATTTGGATGGTTAGATTAAATTGAAACTTCAAGGCAAATTTGGTCCTTAAAATGCAGATGACAGTTAACTTGAGGGACCAAATCTTTATGAAAATTTTAACTTTGGACCGATTATTCGAATAAAAAAATAGGTGTAAGTCTTGGGTTCATAAATTAAAAAAGTTAATTAAATAGTTTTTAATTTTGAATTTTTATATTTAGAACCTTGAAGTATTTGAGTAGTTCAAATTACACCTTATGGACTTTATTAAATTAATTAAAGTGTTTAATTAAAAAAGAATTAATAATTCCATAATAACATGGTTTAAGATTAATTAAATTAAGAGTATAGTTTAATTAAAAGATTAAACCACCAAGTATTTTAAAAGTTTAAAATACACCCTTATACTATTATAATATTAAAAGTTTAATTATATATATATATATATATATATATATATATATATATATATATATATATATATATATATATAAGACGAGTCAGTCTTACCGTTAGTAGGCCTCATTCACGAAGCCGGTCTATAAGGGGTATAAAATGGTGGTTTAATGGGTGTCCACTCTCACCCGCCGTTTCCTTGACTGGTGGAGGGTCGTTAGCCGAACGGGTAGGATAGGACATTAATTCTCATTAAAAGTATAATGAAAATACCAAGTAACTAAACACTTATAAATTCCCAATCTTAGTTACTTAGGAAAAATGTGAATTTGGCGCTAACCCTTGAAATTGCACTTTGCACCTTGTTAAGTCGTTAGTGGAGCGTGTGTGGTTAACCGACACATTAATCTGGGACTAACAGTGTGTGGAAAAGGGTAGCTTGATGTTAATCATAGATCAATGGAGCGTGTGTGATTAACCGACACATTGATTAGGTGATCTGTAACATTAAGAGTACCAAACTAATTTGCATGGTTATTCACACCTTGTTTGTGATCCTCGACATCCCAGTCACAAACTTGAAGGGCACAATCGAGATTAAATATGTCATTGAAAAGTTCAATGAATCTCAAAAGATCTAGGAATTTCAATTCATTTAAAACCTAAAATTTATAATCGCTTTTCATGGTGGAAATTGGTAAATCATTACACTACTAGAAAAACAGCCTTTTACGACGCACAATGCGTGTCGTAAAACGCTCAGACGATGCGCAAATGCGTGTCAAGGAAGGCCCTGTCATAACGAGAGACGACATGCTTTTGCGCGTCGTCTATTTACGACGTGCATTTACGACACACACTTATGACACACATTTATGACGCGCAGTTATGACACGCAATGCGTATCAAGGAAGGCCCTGTCATAAAGGAAGACGACACGCATTTGCGTGTCGTAAGCTTACGACGCGCGTGTTTATGACACGCAATGCGTATCAAGGAAGCCCCTGTCATAAATGAAGATGACACGCATTTGCTTGTCATAAACTTCAATACCCATTTACGATATGCATTTACGACGCGTCTTTATGATACTCATTTACGCATAATACAAAAATATGTAAACAAATATATACCAAAACAATCAATTTCATCCAATAACATCCTGTCAAAAAATTGTAATACATTGATATTAAGGGGATCTAATTGTACATTGTTATTAAGAGGTTTTCCCTAACTACATAACCTAATACTACATTGCGTATCAAGGGACACCTTCTGCAAAGTAATGCTATACAAACTAAAAAGATATACACAAAGATGATAAACATCAAATTCCAACTAAGGAGAGTTGCATCTTGCCTTTCATAATTCTTTAAGACTAATGAACCCCTACTCAGATAATTCAATTCTTGAGACCTGATCAAATAAAAGTCAAAAAATTAATATGCTAATATAATTAATAAAAGAATCAAACAAAGAATGTTAGTTGCAAATACTTATGTCAAATGTGAGTGGTCAAATGAGGGAATATTTTAACCAATACCTGAAGCTCCTGTGGGGTACTTTCTTCAAGTATAACTCCAAGCAATTGATAGGTTACCTATAAAAAAATCATGATATCATTATGATTTATGTATTTAGTTGAAAATTCATGTGTAAACTTATTTTTCTTAATATTATACTAGCATTACAAAGGATTCTAATTTCTAATTATATTAATACCTTGTAAATCTTGTGGTAAAATACTGCAAACAATCTTAGTTCAGCATCCAGATGAGATAATTCAACCTACTTGTTTCAACATACATGTATTTATTTTATTTTCATCAATACAACTATAAACAAAAACACAACATTAACATACAAGCAAGCAGTTTCAGATTTCAGTCACCAACAGATCCACTAATCAGATAATCTATATATGCAAGTTGAGAGGAATGTATATTTATACCTTTGTCTTAATCTCATTGAGAACATCTCCGACAGTGCTCTGCTTAGGCAGTCTAATATTGTGAATCACAGGCTGCAACCACAACCACAACCACAACACAAGAGCTTTTACATTAGAGACTAAAGAAACAGTTGAAGCCCTTTCTCTCCACACCTATCTCTTCCTTGGTTGCATGGTGAAATGCAACTTTCAGAGTTTTCAGACACTGCAATTCCGGGAGAGGTATGTCTAACACCTCGTAATAAAGAATATCATAAACCTGTCACAAACAGAGAGTCATTTTGATTTTGTGGTTACCATAATCATATCATATCTTGTTATTTCATCATCAAAGACAAGTCAGAAATAGAGAAACCAAGGGTACCTGATTGTAGTGAACAAGCATGTCCAGCCTCAGATACTTTCTGAAAGCAAATAATATCTCTGTCCTCGATCTACAAATAAAATAAAGGATTTTGTTCATATATATATATATATATATATATATATATATATATAGGCAAGCAACTTTTTCATTATAGAAGAAGAGGGTTGAGACTAGTAATACCTGGCTTCCTTTTCATCCATCTATTGAAATATTAATATAATATTTATATTATATTATAATCTTGCAAATCTCAAAAACTTTTGTGGGTACTTCAAGGTTGTATTCTCTGCTTCCTTTTCATCCATCTGAACCCTCTGTTTTTCATAGAAGCTTAGTTACACAATCTTTCTCTCTAGTACGTGTATGATTTCACTTTACTAATATCTTGATTTTCAAAATAGTTTTTAAGGAAGACTCCATGGTTTTGGATACAACTTCACATGTATCTCTGCAAACAGTTTCAACACCTTTAGCATCAAAGAAAGGTTTGACTTGATCAGGCTTCTCATAACTGTAACCAACATATCTCTTTTTAGTAAGAAGAAAGCATGGGTAATACACCCTGGAACAAGTACAAACATGCTGCAAAAAGACATGTATCAAATATCAAATATCAAATTACAAATCAACATTAACACAAAAAAATTCATAAAAAAACAAAACTTTTTTTACCTATCGATGTCGCCATATATGACTTTAGCCTTCCACTTGTCATGTGTGTTCACTAGTGAAATAGCAGCTTCTAGTGTTCTTCTGCCACTAGAAGTCATTCTGGAGACATGGATCTAAATTACCATTAAGCAGATTACATGTGTCAAGTAAAAGATATAACAAAGCCAACTACTTAACCAAATAATGGTTTTACAGCAGTAAGGAATAAGAGCATAGACTAATTGCAATGAGAAAATGAAAAAGTAGAAATAGAAGAGGGAAAAAGTAGAGAAGGAAAACATAATTACCTGCTAAAAACTAATCCAGACATGGATTGTGAGACTTCACTACTTAGCTCAACATTGGTAACATCAAAACTGCACAACAATAAGATAGATAGATTTTATTGCTGCTAAATGAATTTCAAAATATGCAATATGATCTCTACATGAAACATACCAGGAATACATCCACATTCTCCAACTCCACCCAAAGCATGAACACCCACTACTAATTACTGGCAAGACATGGCTGATTCCATTACTGTTTTGACATTGGAATCAGTGACAAGGTTGCTTTTAGTCTCATCAGCATGAATCTGCCATTAAACAAATTTAATAGAAATTTGAGAAGAAGACATAAGGATTTCAGATAACAGATTTTAAACAATGTTTGTGACACCTAAATTGACATGAAACAACACTCTTACAATCAGAACTAGTTATGATCTACTTACATGCTAGATAGAAAATTAGAAACCTTAATGGAATGCTTTAATGTGAAAATAAATTTCATTTAAATATCTTGAATCTTAAAATATTTACTTTGAAATATAGTACCAATCAAAAAATGGAATATTAACAAGCTTCAGAACCTCATAGAGTGAGTTTACTCTTACCCTTTAATAATCTTATTCAAAAAGCTCAAATAACTAGAAATTTATTTAGTTGTACTATAAAAAATTAGTTTTCCAACATTATTTGTATAAATTTAAGGTTCACCTGTGCCAAGGTAATGTTACAGATGATGGTTGTATTTGCATTCCCACCAAGTGCAGGCTGCAAAATACGTGTGAGTTTGCTGTCTCGATAGGGAACATGACCCCTGTATTAAACAATAAAACACAATTTATAAGAGCGGTTTTAGGAATTACTAAATTACCCTCAGGGACATCTGAACCTACCCTTGACTCTCAGCACCTTCACTAAGCTTTTTAATAACAGTTTCAAGTGTCATCAAGCTTTTGTTGATGTGGGATAAAAAGTGGGATAAAAGTTACACATTACCTTTTTAATAGCAAGAATTAGCTTGGAGTTAATTGATTTGTATTTTATAAGACATGAACATATGCTATAATTCAAGTGACACATTACCCTCAGGGACATCTGAACCTACCCTTGACTCTAATTTTTTGTTTTTACCGGTTGTGTTCTGTCTCCATGAACTGTAGTAGCGGGAAACGAATTGCCACATAGCCAATATTCAAGTGATTCGGCTCCTTTTTTTGTCTCGACAAAAAAGTAAGAGGTTGCTGAATAAAAAAAAATATATTACATTAAAAATATTGAAATGAAAAAAATTATGAAAAGTGTACACGTGTACCTTGCCTGACCCATTATCTATTCGTGCATGAAGAAGGTCCATAAGGTGGCTTCTTTTATCAGTTTCTTGAACAAATTCCACCCTTTGAACAATCAAATCAGTACTTGACCCAACGCGTCCCATAGTTAGAAATATATAATTTGAAAGAAAATCAGATGTGAGTCTCTGTGTAAAAACATTATATAAATTAAAAAACTATATATTAAAATGATTCAAATTAATAAAATAAAATTAAAAACCTGGATTTCTCTAGGAAAAGTGGCACTGAAAAGCATTGTTTGTCTTCCTGCAGGTGGAGGCATGTCTGTTTGTTCCACAATTTTTCTTATTTGAGGCTCAAATCCCATATCCAACATACGATCAGCTTCATTAAGAGCTAAATACCTTATCATTTGTAATGAAACTTTTGCCCTTTCAAGTAAATCAACTAATCTTCCAGGTGTTGCCACAAATAAATCAACTAGCTTCATCTTTCTTTCCCGCTCTTCTGTTTCTTTGCCTTGGTGCACAAGGTACATGGGACTAAATATGCACATTTAAGATAATAGAATTAGTGAAATTAATATACTATAAATATGATCTTACCCATCACACTAAACTGGAAACAAGGTAAAATCAATTGAGTTCTTGTAGTCTAAAAATGATACTCAAACAACTTTGGAAAGATCTATATATACAGTCATAGCAGGTACCTTGAGCTGGAAATTTCTCATCAACCAATGGGATGTCAACAAGCACCGATCCATTCTGTAGAAGGTTCCCAATTGATGACTTTAGCATGAATGATTCTGAAGGCGATCGGTACCCAGGACTCCCACTCAGAGTAATCTTCAACCAGCTGCCATTTTTTATGGAAGACAAGAACCTTTCTGGGAAACTAACCCCCAATGCCCTTAAATTGTGAAGCCAGTCTAAAAGCAGGAATGTGTTTCTTTTAGTAAGAGGAGATGACAGAGTGGGAATAGCAACATTGGGAGGATTATTCCTTTTTCATATACTTGTGTGTGTATGTGTTTCTGTGTAGATGAAATTACAAAGAGAGAGAGAGAGAGAGAGAGAGAGAGAGAGAGAAGATTACCAGATGGGCTGATTCTCAGCCTTACAAAGGTTTCGTGCTCTGGTTCTTTTCTAAAAATATCAGCATAATCAAAGAAGATCAACTTCAGTAGATAGCAGAATGAGTGTGGATGGGTCCGATTTATCATCAAAAAGCTCTGATCTTTCTGATAGTATATGATCTCCAGTCTCTTATGAAAAAAACCCTAAAAGGACAAATCACAATCGATCCAATAATCGGTGATTTTGACCCAAGAGGGTTGTAATACTGATGATACAGAGGTGCAGAAAACAGCTTCAAAGGCGTCATCATCTTCAGGGTGCAAAAACAGGAGAAGAAAAGTAGATACACACCGCCGATTGTGCTTGGACAGATGATCATTCGGTAGGAGCATGGCCGATGGGGAAGGACCGGTGGTCAACGACAAAGGTGAGGAACGAGATGTTTGATGAGACCGATAAGAAGGAGGTCAGGAGTAGCGGAGAAGCGGATTGGAGAGGAGAGAGATGGACCGAGAGGGGAGAGTCGATTGAGAAGATGAATGATAGAAAAAAAGGTAGAAGGCGGGTTTTCAAAATTTTGGGGATTTCGTTTCCTCGTTTCCCCCGTCTAAACGCGCGTTTCATTAAAATTATAAAGCTACGGGTACAGGGGACGCGCGTTTAAGATAAAGCGTCCTCCGTGTTTTTTATTTTTTTTCTTTAGACACTAATTTAAGGGCACGCAATAATGCGTGACGTAAATCCTTAAATTTTTTGAAGATATGACACTATTTTAAGGTCACTCTCTTTTGCGTAACATAAATCAGTACGTGTCGTGGTTTGGGCATCGTAAAAGGCTGTTTTTCTAGTAGTGTCATTTACCTACCTTCAAATATTTTGCAATTGGATTACGGCATCCTTCTTCCGAATTGTAAAATATTGTGCTGGATCCTAGCCTTAATATTTCATTTTGAGTGTTATATTAGGGATTTAAATCAACTAAACTTGAATTTCTCCCCTATAGATGTCTAGTTCTGACAACTATGGTGTACCTTATCCTTTTGGAAAAAGCTTTCCTCATAAAGATGATATTCCACAAGACGATCAAAGTGAAAGATTAATCCCTTCTTCGTGCTGTAGTGGTACTTCACTTCCTCTACCTCCTCCAATTATCCTCCCAAACCCACAAGTTCAAAGACTTGAAAAGTTCAAGGTCACTCAAAGCCCAATTGGCTAGCAAACACCAAGATGGAAGGTCTGTGTGTGCACATGTCTTGGAGATGAAGTCACGCATTGACAGGCTGGGAATGTTAGGAGTCGATGTCTCAAGGAAGCTGACTATTGATTTGGTTCTTTAGTCACTCCCTGAGTCGTATAGTGAGTTCATTAAGGACTACTATATGACAGATCACGGCATGACCCTTATCGATCTTACCTATTTGCTTGTTGCTGCTGAATCGGCAATGATTTGGCGCACTGGTAAAACAAATTTGATTGGAAGATCTACACCCAAACTTCCATGGACATTGACAATGGAAACATTGGAATTCCAAAAAAGTCTTCTCTTCTCAATGGAAAGGGATCGGCCATGGTAAAGTCATTTGACCAAATGGTAAAGAGAAAGGATAAGTCTGAGATAGTCCCATGTACCATTCCCAAAGAGTCCATATGTTTCTATTGCCAAAAAAAGGGCACTGGTTGCGAAGCTGCCGTATTTACCTAAAAGATGGTAAAGTCAAAAAGTTTGACTCTACTTCAGGTAAAGTCCACTATCTAACTCTGTTAAGTTCCTATTTGGAGATTCTTAATACATGATGTAATGTAATTACATTTTGATGTTTTGTAGAATCGAAGGAAAGAAAGGAAACTTAAAGGAAAAGTAAGTTGATTCTGATCGTGAAGAGATGGATTTCGATCGCATGGTTCGATGATCTGAATTTTGAGCTGTTGCTTAAAAGTTATGTTAGATTGCTTAGGAATAGATAACAACATAGTTTTCATATGTATTTGCATTGTAAGGAAAACTTTTCCGCAATTTTTATAAATAAATAATTTTTTTTGAGATTTATCTTATTTTAAGTTTGCTTACAATGACATTTGTGAAAATTGTTGTTTATATGTTTCCATTGATATCAATATTGGAAAATGGATTTGATTCTTTCGTTTGTGGTAGTGTCAAGATTTACCAAATAAGTAAAGATTCTCACCACCCAAGTTTCAGTTGGATATAAACTTGGAATCATGCAACTTGGATTGTGTGATGAATGAGAACTTCATCATTGGGAAATTAAGACTAATTCCTTGTTCACATGTATATGTGATTCAAGTGAAGGACTAGGGGATCGGGTACACTTGGTTGTGCACTGATCAGGTCCACCACAAAGAACGATAAGACTATTCGTTATGATTTACTAAAGTTTGGTAAATATAGTTATGCTTACAAGATTAAGTGTAATTCTGAATCATTGAAAAGTTTCAAAGTATAGACGAACGAATAAGAAGATTCAAATTAGGTGGAAAGATAAAAGTTTCTCCAATCTAAGAAGAAGGGATAGTACTTGAGTATCGTGTTTTATGATTGTCTTAGTGATTATGAAACCATATCACAATTGATCCTCTAAGGACATCTTAGTGCATTTGTATGGATAAGAAGAGGAATCATGAATTGTTGAAATCGTAAAATCGTAAAATCAAAAGGTGAATCATACTTCGTTCCAAAATCGAGCCTCGAGTGACATAATCTTAAGAAAGGTTTATAACACTTATCAGATGTAGAGTAAAATGTTTTCTACTCTTGTACATTTGAAATTGGTAAGTTGTGATGTTTTGGATAATACAAAGACCAACTAAGACCAATTGTGTGAAGTGTTTGTCTTCATAAGAAACCGCACTAACTCTTGAATATTTGTTTGTCAAGTAATGTTGCTTGACAAAGAGAATCTTATATGTCAAGAGGTGAGTGGTAGTCTTAAAGATCTTGAAAAGCTTCAAGAATTAATCAAGAATAAACCTATTGTTAATCACTAGCACACGACTTGAGGTTTGTAACCTATCGTGTTGACATATTCTTGTTTTTGTGCCCATTCCAGTTAAAGTTGACTATGCATGTGAGTTCTATGAGTGCTCTATTGTTTGCATAACAACTTGGAAGCAATGGTAGGCCCTTTTGTTGCCAGGTGGCAAGAAATTAAGATTGAACAAGTTCGGTCCATATGAGTTTGGATTTGTCACTAACCATGTCTTGTGATTATGGTTTTGATAAATTCACATGGAGAGGAACACATACACCATAAAAAATCTAAGTGTCATAAGGTTTCTCTCCAATTCATGAAAATGATTGTGAGGAAACGCTTTCACTAAGTAGATTTTAAAGAGATAGCAATTGTGATATTTGCATTCTCAAATTCGATTATGATTACGACATCCCTCTTCATAGTTCGAATTGTGAGAAATGGCAAAGGTCTAAACATTTGGGACTTATTGCTGTAAGTTCTAAAATTGTTTAGACACACATGTGAGCTATCGAAGGAAAAGTGTATGAGTTTGAGAAGCCTATATAAAGTCTTATCGAAGCATCTCGTGTCAGAAATCTGAACTTTGCTAAGGAAGTCAATAAGTATTGATTTCTAGAAGTCCAGCTGATTTCTGAGTACATGTCAAAGCTAGTGGGAGCATAAGTGCTATGCTAATAAGAATGTAATTATTATTCTAGTGGGAGCACAATTATTACGTCAAGAGTTGCGAGTTAGCAATGTTAATTATAGAAAACAAAAGTTTCAATTTGCAAAGATGCAAGGTTTGAAAAGTTGTTTTGCTATAATTAAGGGAGAGGAATTCATACTTCATTTCGAATCTAAAAGCTTAGATTGAGATTTTAATCGAATTTAGTCATGGACATATGTGAATGTTATGTTGAAATGATTCAACATAAGGAAATTCTATATGTGGAAATATTATAGCGAAAGACTGGTAAAGTATCATGTCTTTATGTGAGACATTATGAATCGTATTCCATATGCTTCAGATATAGGATCGATTACATATGGTATAATATTAATCTGTTCTAATTTTCCAAATGCCTAGGGCATTAAGAGGAAAAGGGACTAGAACGAGATATGACTAAAATGGTTAAGCAATTGTCGAGGACAATCCGAGGTTTACCAAAGATTGGTTGCTTATGGACAATTGGAATTATATTGTAAATTTTAGAAAGGACCATATTGGCATACTCTGAGAAGAGGTAACTCTTGTTCTGGAGTGATAATCTAAATGGGAATATGGAAATGTTTCCATAAGTGGAAGTTATTTTTAAATCTGTGTAAGATTAGGAAACTTAATGCAAGAAGGATGTTCA